ACAGTACAACAAGCTTTGACCCTTAAAGGGTAAACAAGAGTATTATCGATAACCAAAAACAAAACATAAGGCAAAATGACTCATTCATAATTAGCCAACAGTGATGCCCCATGCGATTCTATAATATGGTATTACCAAATGTATGCAATTTGTCTGCTTGCACCCCTCTGACTTCTTGTTTTATTATCTCTCCTAAGGCATTTACATTTGCATCTCTATGGGGTCCTTGTTTCTTTATCATCTTGGGATCATTTGTATTTGTGTGTTTATATGTCCTTGAAGTTTTTATTTCTTTATCCATCTATGATCATTTGCATTTGCATGCTTGTATCCTTTAGAATTTTTTTTTGTTATCCTTGCATGGTCACTTACATTTCCTTTCTTACATCCCTTCGTGGTTCTTGTTTAATTATCCCTCATGGGTCATTTACAGTTGCTAGATTGCATCCACTGAGGTTCATGTTATTTTATTCATTCGATATCATTTGCATTTGATTACTTGCATTCCCTCGAGGTCTATGTGTTTTTATCCTTTCGGGATCATTTGCATTTACTTGTTTGCATCCCCTCAAAATTTGGTTTTCTTTATCCCTATGGAGTCACTTGTATTTGCTTACTTGCATCCCCTTGAGGTTCATGTCTCTTTATCCCTCCGGGATTATTTGTGCTTTCTTGGTTACATCCCCATTGGATCCCTGTCATTTTATCCTTCCGAAGTCATTTGCATTTGGCTACTTTCATCGTCTCGAGTTTCTTATTTCAATATCCCCTTAGGATCACCTGCATTTTGTCTATCCGTGCATGATTGTAGGCTAATATTTAATTCAAAAGAATTCAACATGTCCCCCTCAAGCGTGCATCTCTAAAATGGCCGCATTCGTTATGGATCCGATGCCACTAGCCTTTAATCAGCTCGATATCTGAGTACCCAGTTTTGTAAGCTTGAAAATGACATACGCGCTTGAAAACATAAAAAAATTTCAGGAGATCTAAGACGTTGAAGTGTGTCAGGTGTTACTC